GCCACACACTGCCCGGCTCTGCGCCGGACAAGCGGTGCGGCTCCTTGCTGAAGCTCTCGCTTCCCGGGGCCACTCCCACTGCGCCCAAGAGCCCCGCTGATGTGGGCTTCCCACGCGGCCTCGCAGAGACCAGCCTCCCTGCTGCCTCCACCAACACACTACCTGCTCCTTTCGTTCTTACTCATGGTGGTTCCGGCGGATGCCGGAGTGACACTTGCCCTGCGTTCTCCTGAGCTGAAGACCACGGACATGGTGGCCACGCCCAGCTGGATCTGCAGCTTTTCAGGAATTTTCAGGAATCCATTTCTGAGACTGCATCAGCGCCACGTCTAACAGACCCCAAGACTGACGAAGATCTCTGTCTTCTTTTAGTCAGGGCACTACCCCTTGGGGCTGGCTAGCTCCTTCCCTCTGGTCCCGGGGTCTGAAGTGGCGAGCTCCTCGATAGATTCAGTCTTCAGGGCACAGTCTGAGCAGCACTGCCGTGCGCAGGGACGCAGAGGATACGTCTGCATTCAGCCACTTGCAGCCACGGGTCTCCGAGTGGTATGGCGAGTGGTATGGGGGGGGTGGGGGTGCATTTGTAATGCGGATAGACATCGGCTGCCCAGCAGGGGTGGGCAACGCATTAATCAAAGGAGAGTTTAATAAACTCTTTGGGAGGAGGGCTTCGGCTTCATTACTTAAAAATTCAGCGAAGGCATCTGTAGTTGAACTTTTACAGGCACTAATCCAAATGGATCATCTGGCAAAGACAGGAAATTATTCCTTGGATTTTACAACTAATATGCCAATTTATTAACTTTCAAGTTCACAAAATCCCACTGAGTTCGGTGTCAGCTCTGAACTGATCTAGTGACAACACCTTACGGACGTGCGGTTTTAATTTGAGCTGAGGTAGCTGCATTTGCCAGGGGATAATTGCAGATCCTTTTCTGCAAACAAGGATATTCTTCAGTTTTAATAAGACTAGAGCCAAAAAGAAAAAAGAAATCCAACCTAGCAAAGTCTCAATCTCATCACAAATAAACACATCATTCGTCTCGTAATTAACCAATATTGAAGTTTCCTCCATATTTCCATTAACTATAATTGAATGTTCAGGTTCTTTTCCTTGCCAAAGTTACAGTAATAAGAGCAACGTGGAAAATTAATATGTTTGACTAATCAGTATTCTAGAAATCTGCGAGTGAAAGTCTATTTGATTATTCATTTTGAAGAACCAGTGATTTAATCACTTTTATTTGCATTTTAAAATCACTTGTAGGGGCCCTCCCTGGAGGCACAGCGGGTTGGGGTGCAGCACTGTGAAGCTGAGCCAAACTGGGGCCACTCCAGCCTGATCCCCGCCCCGGAGGTGACCACAGGGCGCGGCCGCTGCGCCCCTCAGCAGTGTGCTTCGCCGATCTGCCTGTCCTGCTCCCCGCTCTGTCTCTGGGGAATCCTCTCACAGCCCCCGCACCCCTGGCCTGTACCCCAGTTCTGTGTGCATAAATAAATAAAAACTAAATAAAATAAAAAAAAATAAAATCACGTGTGTTGAAACATCGCTTTTTTAAAAACATCAGGCGTGTCTGCAGCAGCCGGCAGCGTGGGGTGAGCCGCCCAGGCCC